TCAGAACATCTTAGATGACAGTAAGGGAATGTAAAACTTGGGAGGAATATCGAACCCCAGTGACATATTTCACTACTGAAAATTGCTTTGGACATCTTTCCATTCTGAAGTGTGATTTGACTGTTTTTAAAGCTGTCACCCATATTGAGATTCAAAATTGTATCAACAAAAATGAACGGACCTACCAGAAATGATCATTTCCTAAAACATGGGGATGTTTAACAAAATGAAACATTTCTGTATACCCTGTCACTAAATTAGAATATTATTCTTCATCTACTAACCTGTAATGTGATGAATCTTAAATAGATAGCCACAACATAAATCTCCCTAGTGGTAATCTTTGAAAGTTTTATGAAGATTGAGCTGGTAGTTGTCATTGCAGTTCTCATTTTAGGTATGGTTTGATCCAGAGACACTTAAATTGTTTTCAGGAACCGAATCTCACATCTCTTTACTCTGCTTTCTTCTTTGTTGGTTTCATTCTTTGGTTTCACTGTGATGGAAGGACAGCTGCCAACATCTCCAGCTCTGTATGCTTCCAGGTTCAGGGCCAGTGTGGGAAAAAAAAAAGGAACTCTCAATAATTTAATATTTCTGAGTCTTTCAGTGGTCCTAATTAAGTCATCTAATATGGTTAGGGGGAAGGAATGTGCTGATTGACCTGATCTGAATCATGGCATGAACATCCCTGGGGTTGGAGGTAGAGTTAATTCTATAGGAAGCCCAGAGATTGATAGTAGGGAGGGTGGTTCTGCAAAGGAGTTTTTTTGTTTTAATCAAATAGGTCCTGGGCAGGACAATACGAACACAAAATAAAGAGCAAAAAACTTTTCTTTAGACTACTGTTTTGTTTTGAAGGAGTTGCCTAACAACAGTAGTAGTATTAACAAATTCTTAAGAGGCATCAGTTTCAATCTTTACTAAAGAGTAATTCGTTTTTTACTAAAGCAAATGTTTCAGATCTGTAATGCATACCACTTAAGTCTTTTTTTAGAATTTATATTTGAAAGATTTGTAAAAATGTTTAAGAATTTAGTGTCATACTGATCTTTTGCTCACTGCCAATGTTTCATTAGAATTCTCTAATTATATCTATCAATATTACAAATCAAAGCCAAATAGGAGATTTTAATTTTATATGTTAGTGTGTGTTTTTATTCTCTATATAGGATGTTTTAGAGAAAGCATTTCAAAGATTTTAAGCCATATTAATTCCAATTTAAAAATAAAAATCTGTTCAGCTTTAGTTTTGGGAGTGGACGTTATAAGAGTATACCTTTGCTGCCTAAACTACTGCTGAAGAATGATGCATGGAGAACATTTCATAATCATAACTAACCCTATTTCCATATTAGGTAAAATTACATACTGTTTTTCAAGTATAGATCTGGGGGAACTGTGAATAAGAGAGGATCCTTTATGTCACTCTGGTTTCTTCAATACTTCTTGGATTATAGGGTTAATAATTTGGGTGAAGGTAGATAATATATCCTATAACTGGTGGTAAGTTTTGGTATTGCCATTATATTTTGGACTAGGTTAGTTGATTTACACTTTTTCTTATTTATTTAAAAATTTTTTTGAGCATGTAAGACACTTATATGGTACAGAAGTCAAAACTATATAAACAAATAGCAGAGAAGTCTTACTTATTCCCTCCAGCTTGTTCTCACCCCCATAGGTAATCATTTTTTACGAGTTTCTGACTTAACCTTCCAGTGTTTCTTTTTAATTGCATAAAGTCTTAGGGAAAGAAGAGAAAGAGAGGAGGTGTGGGAGATTAAAGTGAATGGTGGAAATGGAGAAGAGTTTTATTAAGTAGTACTTGTGAAATGTTGTCTTATTGGCACTCTTTTTGTCCTGGTTACACACTTCCTAACTCTGAAAAAGGCAATAACTTTTAAGAAAAACCTTATTTTTTCAGTAATTTTAAATTTACAGAAAAGTTGCAAAAAGGTACAGAGAATTCCTTCATTCAGTTTCCCCTATTGTCACCATCTTACCTTACCATTTTTCATGTGTCAGAACTGAAAAGTAACATTGGCACACTATTATTAATTAAACTTCATTTTATTACAGTTTAGCATTTTTTAAAAATGAAAAGCAGTTTTATGATTAAAGAGGAAGCCAAGACAAAGGGCAAAAGAGGGATCATGTATACATTTACTGCCTTTCACCAAGATTACATCAATAATTTACCTGCACAGAGCTGATATCCTTTGTCCTTCTAGTTGCTGAGAGTATCTTGTATTTTAATTCATCATGGTGTAATGAAAATAGTTACCCTAATGCTTTTGAAATAAATAAAATAGTGGAAAGGGCAAAAAGTTGTATAGCTCAAAGTCCATGCTCTAAGTATAGTTGGTTAATTCGTGGAGGAGGAGTTTTGTTTTGTTTTGTTTTGTTTTGTTTTGGTAAACCTTCCTATGAAATGCCCTCATGTGGTGATCTCTGTTTTGCCCATGTTAGTGAAAGGAAGCATGGAAACAGTAGTGATATGTTGGTAATCTACCTGGATGAATGTTTGTAGACTCCATTGCTAATTTTAGAATCCTAGAGCTTGGAATCAGAGGGTGTCTTGGAGCTGATTGTGCTAACTTCCAAAATACTGGAAAGATTTCTTCAACAGTATCTACTCATCAATTATAGATTACATCTCTGTCCAACTCTTGTATATTGCTTTGTAAGGCAGTCTGTTCCATTATTATTATATTTGTCATAAAATTATTTTCTTGAGTTGAAGGATAGATCATTACTCTGTTCTCTGTGGCAATTGGGGAGAACCAGATTGTATCAATTATGTGTGTGTGTGTATAGGAGATCAAAGTGTGTGATATATATCCACATATATTGGTATAATCCTTTTTCCTGCCTTCTTTTGAGCTATACTACTCATTTATTATTTACTATTTTATGTAGGAATGTTGGGAGATGTAGGTTATGTAGGAATGTTGGGATAAAGAGATAAATAATGAGTAAAACCTCACATCATGGAGTTATGAGGATAAATAAGATCATATGTACAAAGTGTTTAGCATAGTACATGGCATATTATGGTAAGCATTTAATAAGTGCTGACAGTGTAGTGATAATAATAGCCTCTATCATCAAGTCATTTCCTCCTAGATTAATAGGGAAGATAACTAATCAACTAATAAGAATAGGTTAAATGAAATAAGTGCTATAGGAGAGAGAGAAGCAAAGTTCTTATTTGTTCAGTTTTTAAAAGAGTAATTTCAATTAGGGACAAAAGAAGGAGAAATGTTCTCTCAAACTTTGAAGTAGAAATAGGTTCTCCTCTAAGAGAATGGTATTCTAGATTGAGGGGCTAGCATTAACAAAAGCTTGGGGCTAGGAACATGCCTGATCTTTTTCATGGAACCTTAAGCATTCATGTGTGACTGAGGGTTTGGGTATGTGGAAGATCTAGTGAGAAATAAAGGTAGGATGCAGAGAGGTCAGATTATACAGAGCTTTGAAAGCAATAGGGCAAGTATACTTTATTCTAGAGACTGGGTAATATTTTCAGGTCTCTGAACAGAGGACCAAAATTGCAATCTTACAGCAAAATAGATGTGGTTATTGTATATAGGGTAATTAAAAATCTTGATTGAGAGAGCTAATGAAAAATATATAGAAGGAAGTGAAGTGGTAGTTGCTGAAATCCAGAGTATGAAATGGAAACCATTGATAGATCGTATAAAAGAGCCTTTTAGAATAAGCCCTAAGAACTTTTTAAAGATTTTATTTATTTGAGAACAAGCAAGCAAGCAAGAGAGTACGATTAAGGGGGAGGAGCAGAGGGAGAGGGAGAGGGAGAAGCGGACTCCCTACCTAGCACAGAGCTTGACCCCAGGCTCTATACCTGGGCCCTGAAATCATGACCCAAGCTGAGGCAGATGCTTAACTGACCAAGCCACCCAGGCACCTTAGCCCTGTGAACTTTTTGTAAATATATTTGGGCCTTTTCATACTTAAAAGTATTACACAAATTTATTAGATAATAGACTGTTTCAAAGAATCTTAATCTCAAGATTGAGAGAAAGGATTAGGTTGCTGTGCTCATGGAAAGAAAGAACTGTACTTTTCCAGCTGACTGCATATGGAATTGAAGATGGACTTACCTCAGTAGATTGGGCTGTCTTTCAGTCTGAAGGGGGATCTTTAAGCGTATTTTAAAACTGAGCACTTGATTTTTTAAGTCTGAAAATAATTATCTGACGCTGGGAACTAGCCTTTGGGAATGAATCTAATGTGCATAGGCTTGAGCATTGCCAACATCTACTGTTTTTGATATGCTTTTATTTGGTTATCTGTTATCTTGTATTTTTGTTGATTTTTACTGTTGCTTATGGAGCATTTGCCTTTTCAGCACTTGGGACTCCAAATGATCTGTGCATCTTAGTTGGAGAAATTGTTGGGAAGGAGGCCTGAACAGGAAAGAGAGATTGGTTGGCTAATGGTCAGGTGAAGATTTAATTTAAGCTCATAACAGTTGGGTTATTGGCTGGCTGGAGTGACTAGTGAATTATATTTGGCTTGGCATCTTTTCCTGGTTGTACAGAGGATCTGGCATCTAGACTACAGTAGCAACAGGGGTGTATGTATGTAAAAACTCCTTGTGTGAGGTATGAGATGGACTTACATGTCTGCTAGTATTCTTCTGAAGGGAAGAAAGCAAATTGCTACTTAGTTTATGTTCCAGGAAATACTAATGCTGTGGTACAGGTATATAGTACTTACATAACATTTATGCTCTTCAACAATACTTCATATCTGTTGTCATTTCATGTTCACAACAAACTTGTAAATGAGATTGGGCAGGTATAATTCCTATTTGATAGGGGATGCTGAGGCATAAATAAGACTGGGTTCAGGTTACTGGCTCAATAAATTAATAATTGGGACAAATTTCTATGTTTCAGTTTTGGATCTTACTTTAGAAAATTTTATAGGAGGGAAAGCTGAATGTGTCCTTCTTTTTTGTTATTTTTTAGCGACGTCTTAGACACCTTCGGAACATTGCTGCCCGGAACATTGTTAATAGAAATGGCCATCAGCTCCTTGATACCTACTTCACACTTCACTTATGTAATACTGAAAAGATATATAAAGGTAAGGGAATCTGTGGACTTAACCACAGACTGTTACATCTCATTTTTAGTTTTTTGTAACACAAGTGAGTATCAGTGCCTCTAGCTTTGCTATTATTACTTTTTGGAAAGTTAAACTGTCTTGCTGTCCAAAAATATTTCATGAGCAGTTGTTACATATATATAAAAGAAACATGGCTTTTGGATTGTTCTTAAATTGGTAAATTTATCGTTTATTTATGAATGTTAGCTGTTAATGCTTTTATTCTGGTAGCTATCATAAAAATAGATTATATGAATCCAGTGTACAGTATTAATTTTATTTTCTTTAAAACATAATCTTAAAAAATATTATGGTAAAAAATATTATGGCAAAATTGGAACTAGTTTATGTCTTCTAATATCTGTAATTCCTTGTATATATACAGAGTTATTATTTATAGAAGAATGACGTGGTTTCCCTGAATTCATTTGCACGTATTGTACTGTGGGCTGCTCTATAAGTGGCAGTTCTGAGAGTAGAACAAATAAATATCTGATTCCAAATCACAATCATCTTTTGAATACATATTGAATGAAAGGCACTTGGTTATAATCAGTTGACCTGTGTTGGGTTGTATTAGGGAACAAAACATGGTATATAGCAGAAATATTGAATAAAAATTGAAAATACTTAGATAGTAGTAGGTCTAGCTCAGCCATTTACTAGCTGTGTGATACTGGACAAAGATCATGGCTTTTTGAACCTCACTTTTCCCATTTCTAAAGTGGAGATAATGATGCTTTATGAAGTTGGCAAGGCAGATTTTTTTGAGGAACAATGGAGATAAAGTGATAACACTTGGTAAGATGTGATTGAAGATCTATTTATATTAACAAAAAGTGGTATTATTTTAATTAGAGTTACTAAGGTTATTTGAATTTTGTTGTGGCAAAGATGAAAAAATCAAATGATATTTTATCTTTTTGTTTTTAATTACTTTTTTAAGTAAAGATTTTATTTATTTGAGAGAGAGAAGAGAAAGAGAGAGAGAGAAAGAGAGAGAGATAAAGAACATAAGCAGGGGAGGGGTAAAGGGAGAAACAGACTTGCTGCTGAGCAGGGAGCCAGATGCGGGGCTGAATCCTGGGATCCTGAGATTATGACCTGAGCTGAAGGCAGACGCTTAGCCAACTGAGCCACCTGGGCGTCCGTAGTTTTAATTACTTTTAAAAACCATTATTAAAGCAGTAGTTATATAATACCTTTTTTGTTTTTTAATTTCAATGAGCATATGCTCATTAAAAGATTCAGTCAGGAATTATATGGGGTAGAACCCCCAACATAATGTAAATTGCATTAAAAACTTTTTTTAAGGATGAAAAAAAGGATTCTATAAATTCTGCATTTTCATATTTTATTTCATTCTTATTTTTCATTGTAACCATTGCATATTTTTAAAATACTGTATTAATTTGAATGATTAATCCTAGCTACTACAAATACTGCAAATCTCAGTGGCATAACATAATAAATTTTTTACACTAAGTCCAGTGCAGGTATTCTTATTAGGCATAGTCTTGGCAGCTGTCCTCTAAGCAGTGACTCAGGTATCCAGGCTCTTTCTATTTTGGAATGCTACTATTATCAATACATGACTTTTGGCATGGCAAAAGAGGAGGATTATTTGAGGAGAATTTTTTAATGGAAATGGCCTACATCAATTCTATCACATTTCATTGGCCATAAATCAGTAGTGTCATCCTTTTTAGGTGAAAAGAGGACTGGAATATGTTTTCTTCCTATGTTGCAGAAGGAAAATGAAACAGTTGGGTCACTGTTTGTCCTAAGGTATAAGCATTTTTGCAAACTTAATATATTTGGTCTATTGCTCACTAATTGGTTTTATCATTAGCAATATATGACAATGCCAGAGTGTTTTGTTTTATTTTTTCAGGTTAAAAAAGATTTTTATGTAAGTAATCTCTATACCCAATATGGGGCTTGAAACTACAGCCCCAAGATCAAGAGTCACATGCTCTACTGACTGAACTAGCCAGGTGCCCCATGCCAGAGCGTTAAAACATTTTTTTTTTTAAAGAATTATTTACCCAACTTAGAGGTGAAGAGGGGGGCAGAGGGTGAGGGAGAGAAGCAGACTTACTGCTGAGTGTGGAGCCCCATGGGGGCTTGATCCCATGACCCCGAGGCCATGACCTAAGTCGAAACCAAGAGTTGGATGCTTGAACTAGTGAGCCCCCCGGGGAACCCCGAGCATTTTAAATTTTTGGTAATTTTCTATATGATCAATCCTTGATTATTTTTATAAAACTTTATGTTCTTGTTCCAGTGTTCTCTTTGATGACAATAATTAACATAGTACTTAGCACATTTTAGGTATTTGGTAATTTGTAATGTTAACAATTGAAGTAGTTTATAAGAAGAGAGTAGTTGGTTGTTGACCATCTTGTAAAAAGTTGTTTTAGAGATATATGATGGAAACAAAGTGACTTTTCTGGTTTGCTTTTTGTTATTTTCTAGCTCAGACTATACCTTGAGTTTAGAAATTATCATAGACTGCTTCTTAAAATTCTCGTGATGAAAAATGATCATTCATACAGTTTGGAAGTAGCTGGTGTAGACCACAGAGAAGCACAGTCTCTTCCAGTGGTGTTACATCTGTCTCTAAGTGGCAAGCCCCTTAGCTAGGGCATTTAGTTCCTCTTGTGAGCTTTGGTTAATTTATCTCTATAATGAGAGAACTGATGGTTTCTGAGACCTATTTCTATCTACTCCACATGTCATGGTTGAATGGAGTGTGTGGTCTTCTTTTGGGCCCACATGTTGGGCTTTATAACTTTTGACTATCCTAGGAAGAGTGAGGAAGCTCTTTGCTTAGTAAGCCTGGTTAAGACACTTTATCCTGTTGAACCTTTGATGACAAACACGACATTCATTTCATGATCATTATGTGGCCTTGGTGTAGGATGATCATGATAGAGGACCATCTGGCTCTTCTCACAAAGCCACCAGTACCACCTGTTAATTGGCATCATTTTTTAGTTTTAAAAGAAAGTTGTTTTTCTAAGATTTTATTTATTTATTCATGAGAGACACAGAGAGAAAGGTAGAGACATAGGCAGAGGGAGTGGGGAGCCTGAAGCGGGACTCGATCCCAGGACTCCAGGATCATGACCTGAGCCAAAGGCAGAGAGGTTCAACCACTGAGCCACCCAGGTGCCCCTAAAAAGTTTTTTTTTTATTGGACGAATATTTGAAATACTGAACTTGAAATTATTCTTTTATTTTGGCTGAATTAACAGCAGATCCCAGGAAGTTATGTGTGAGATTTTTTGACTTTTGACATCTTCTGGTGCTCTTAGCACATTGCCTACTTGTTAGGTAGTTCAAATCAAAGCTATCATACCCTCAGAGAACAAAGCCTTGTGTTAATGGATGAAGATCTAGGTTCTAATCTTGGTTCTCTCTTAAACTTGGAATTTTTATAAAACCAAGTTTGTTCTTCAGTCATAGTTCTTTTTTACCCATGAAATGTGATTGCCTGTCCTCTCCTGGAATGCCAACCAGCTCTTTTGAATACATCAGAAGATGAACTCCACATAATCCATAAAATTTTAGGTTACTGCACTTGGAATGATGCTTGGCACATATTAAGCCCTTATATATTTTTTTCATTTAATTTTTTTCATAGCTAATGTAGTCCTGGTTCAAAATATATATAAAGGTTTAAGATCTTTCACCTGTCTCATCTCCCTAGTTTTTTACCCTACCCTAATAACCACTGTTCTACATTTCCTGTTTCTCTTTTCTGACTTCTTTATGCTAATACGAGTAAAAAATAGTACCAAACTATATATATTTCTGTGCCTTGCATTTTTCACCTAAAATGTCTTAGATGTTTTTCCATAGAGAGCTTCCCTAAGTTTTTATAGCTTCTCCAATTTTTTTTCCTGCATAATTTTGCATTGAATAGATGTACCATAATGTATTTCACTGGCTTCTCTTGGTAGGTATTGGGGTTGTTATGCTTTGAATAACTTCATAAGTACATTATTTTGTATGAGTGCTAGTATAACTGTGGGGTAAATTTCCAGGAAGTGGAAGTACAAAGGATATGTACACTTACAGTTTTGGTAGATATTGTGAAATTGTCTTCTCACTTGCTAGGTATGAGCACCTTTTCCCCCACAGGCTCACCGACAGACTGCAATCAAACTTTTTTTTTTTTTGTATGCAATCAAACTTTTGAATTTTTGCCAATCTGATAGGTGAAAATACTTTTATAGTATAGTTTAAGTTTGTATTTTTTCTTTTATGAGTGAGGTTGAGGTACTAAAAAAGCATTTGTTGAATAACTGGAATGCTGCATAACAACCAAAACATGCCATTGAAGCCAGGTTCTGTAATCTGTGATTGCTTTGTTTTTCTAGGTCTTACTTAGCATGGATAGAGAAGCATTTGTATCTTTTTAATGGTCCCTTTCATGTAGAAATAGGTCTTGGGTGGTTATCTCCGAAAATTTACTTGACAAATAGTTTGGCTTAAATTGAATTAATAAAAATTAGTACAACTATGTTAATAAAAATTACAGTTTATAAAGTGTTTTTATTTTTAATTCACTATTTTTGTTTTAAAGATTTTATTTATTTGTGAGAGACACACAGAGAGAGGCAGAGATATACACAGAGGGAGAGGGAGAAGCAGGCTTCCCATGGGGAGCCCAATGTGGGACCTGAACCCAGGACTCCAGGATTATGCCCTGAGCCAAAGGCAGACACTCAACCACTGAGCCACCCAGGTGTCTCTTAGTTCACTATTTCATTTGAGCCTTAAAATACCCCTGTTATTTTCCATGTTTCATTATTCTTTGAAAGGTAAACTGTGTGACCCAAAAGGTTAACTGATTATCCAGGGTGAAGATCATAGGTGGATTGGGAACTGGAACTATTTTTTTGACTCTAAATTCTCCTACATTCACTATATTATAGTTTGTATCATGCTGCTAATTTTATTGACAATATTTTGGATGTAACAGAATTGTGGACAGGGTAGGCCCATGTTTAACATGTTAGTGCCTCAGACTCCATGATTTCAGGTATGGCTTTTTTTTTTTTTTTTTTAGATTTTATTTATTTATTCATGAAAGACACAGAGCGAGAGAGAGAGAGAGAAAGAGAGAGAGAGAGAGAGGTGGGCAGAGACACAGGCAGAGGGAGAAGCGGGCTCCATGCAGGGAGCTTGATGCAGAACTCGATCCCAGGACTCCAGGATTATGCCCTGGGCCAAAGGCAGGCGCTAAGCCGCTGAGCCACCCAGGGATCCCCATGTATGGCTTTTTTGTGGATCTTTTTCCTTTTAAATTAGCAACTCCGTTTTGAAGGTCTAATGGAGAAAGCAGATTGTTTAGTTTCATTTATACATACAGTGATTCAGTCAGCAAAGTTTTAGAAGAAATAATGATACTAGTCATTGTAGAGCTGAAGCTATATATTTTGGGAACTGTTTAATTTAGACACTTTGCAGATTAAGCTGAGGACTTCTTTCTTTCTAAAGAAAAGAAGAATATTTTTTCCATCAATTTTAAAGTAATACATGCTTGTAAGAAATTCAAACGATACAAAAATATATTTTGTATAAATTGAAAGTACTTTGAAATAAAAAACATTTTTAACCCTTTTAGGTTTCTTACCCCTAAAAATAAACGTGGCACATATAAATTAGAACACACACATGCATGCACACATACGCCTATACACACAAACATGCATACCTACACACAAACATTTTTATAGTTAATTTATGGTTGAAGTAATTGGTTAATCATTTGGGAAGAAATGAAAAAAATAATACTTAAGATTACCAGTGTAGGGAAAACAGGTATTTTCATAAGTGGAATTATAAATTGGTATAATACTTTTAGAAAACAATATGGCGATATCTACCAAATTCAAACTGTATTTTTCCTTTTGTCTTGCATTTTACTTCTAAATGTTTATCTTATAGATTCAAGTATATCACTAAATGATTATTTATAACATTACTTGAAATATCTCTAAATGATTATTTATCTAGGATATATATCTCTAAATGATTATTTATAACATTACTTGAAATATCTAAAAATTAGCAGTAACCTAAATGTTTATCAGAATGGTTCTTTTCAAAACAATTAGAATATCCCTTTTCTTATTTAAAATATTTTTTCTAAATAGAAAAATAGGAAACTGCCAAGCAGAAAATAAAAGTTAGCAGCCTAATCCTACCACCTAAGATAAACATTATTAGCATAGTTATGAAAATTTGGATCCTGTTATAAATTCTTAGAACCTTAATTTAATACATTGTGACTGTCTCTCTACAAAATAAAATTGTTATCCTTATTATTTTTTTTTTTAAGAGAGACACACATAGAGTTTGTTTACCAAGAAATACTTTAACCTAAAGAGTTTGCCAGTAAGAGTTTTATGTTTAGGCCTACTCTTTGTTTTTTTGCCTATTCCTGAGTTTCAGTTGTTAGTGGACTTCTTTCACATGTTTCACTATATTTGAGTTTCATCTATACCATTACATACTTAATATATATTTTTAAGTTCATTATTTTTAATTTTTTATTTTTTTTATTTTTATTTTTTTTTAATTTTTATTTATTTATGATAGGCACACAGTGAGAGAGAGAGAGAGAGGCAGAGACACCGGCAGAGGGAGAAGCAGGCTCCATGCACTGGGAGCCCGACGTGGGATTCGATCCCGGGTCTCCAGGATTGCGCCCTGGGCCAAAGGCAGGCGCTAAACCACTGCACTACCCAGGGATCCCTATTTTTAATTTTTTAAAACAGATTTACTTAGAGTGAGCAGGGGAGAGGCAGAGAGAAAGAATCTCAAGCAGAATCCCTGCTGAGCATGGAGCCCAATATGGGGCTTGATCTCATGACCTAATAAGTTCATGACCTGAGCTGAAATCAAGAGTTGGATGCTCAGCCAACTGAGCCATCCAGGTGCCCCTTAAATTCATTATTTTTAAACTTATGTCTAAGTAAAATTGTTCATTCAATTAAAAAGTATTTATTGAATGTCTCCTCTGTGCCAGGAATGGTTTTATGTGCTGAGGAGATAGCAGTTGTACAAAACAAATGCTATTGTTATTTCAGAGCTTAAAATTAAGGGTTGATAAATATATGAGACATAAATTTAAATATATAAGAAAAAAATAAAATGTGTCCGTGATCACCTAAAATCATCTCAAGTACCAGTGACCCATGCATCACACCTGGGAAATTTGTTTTAGAGCAACAGAAGGATACGAAGGTCTTTTGTAGGCTCTGCAGAGACAGACTGTCATGATGGTGACTTAAGCAGGGTCAGAAGAGGCACTGCACCTCTGCTGCATTTCTCTCTTTTCATTGTCTTTAGGTTTTGTAACATTTACAATATAAATGAAGATTTGTAGAATCATGAAATTTTAATGCTTACAGAGGGCCTTTGCTTACTAGTCTAATTCTTTAAGTTGTCTAATGAAAAATGGGCCTAAGGAAATGAAAGGAACAGAATGCTAATGATAGTAGAACTAGAATTAAGGTAACCTGGTTGCTAGATCAGTGTCCATTCCATAGTACTACAAAGGATAATCATTAGAGATGTTTGAGATAAATAGAGCATATGGAATCAGTTTTTATAGAGTGGCAGTAAGATAGAGAAGAAAGTCTAATTTTTTAAGAGCTCAAGTTTGAATCTGGGATAAAATATGCTAAATTAAATCTTAACAGGTTTTGACCTTCTTTATTAATGTTTTCCCTTTAAGGCTCTTTTATTTAGTTTTTATTTTATTATTTTATTATTTTGCAGGTAAAGATATAGAGAAAATAGATCCCTTGAAAATCTTTTAAATCTTTTACTAGAATATATGTTAAAAATTTTATAGGATTGAGTTAATAAGCTTATTTTCTTTCATATCACTTATTGTTTTTTTTCTTCTTTTCCAGAATTTTATAGAAGTGAAGTGATTAAGAATTCCTTGGTAAGTTTGCTTTCTGACAGGTACACTTGACTAAGCCTATAACTCTTGTTTCAGAATATGCTGAGGCATAAGTTCAAGTTCAGTTTTGGTATTATGATACTTCTACATTTAAACCTTCTGCTTTGTTATTGCTTAAAATTTCATTGATTTGTTCATTGCTGTATCTCTTATACTTAGAACATGCCTGGCACATAGTAGGTGCTTGATAAATATTTGCTGAATGAACTGATATCTTCTCTGTTAAAAACTTAAGTGTTTTTTTTCAATTCATATTCTATAATTCTGTTCTTTTCACTATAGGAATTTGTTTTTAACTGTTTGATTTACCAAACATAATACATGATGTCTTTGTTCAGATAAAGTTCTTAAGAATTTCATGTCTACAACTATCGTATAGGATCTTCCCACTTATTTTTTGGTGGTGGCACTGCTAAGTTAGAAAGTTGGAAGTTCCTACTTTTGGTAATGTACACGAGATATTTGCATAAATGGCTCAGTTTATTGGGCCATGTTGATAAAAAAAGGACTTTATGGTAATTAAAATATCCTTTTAGTGGTCAAGACTGTATTGGAAAAAGTGGCCTCTGTCCACTTTTTCAACCTCATCTCTTAATATTTTTCCTTACTCATTGTGTTCCAGGCATACCTCATCTTTTCAGTGCTTCAAACATGCCGAGCTTGTCTTCTTTCTTATGTCTAGAATACTTGTTTCCCCAGCTCTTCATTTGGCTAAAGATGTCTTTGAGGTCTCAATTATAGAACTTTGGCTTGGCCTTCTGTGACTATTCCATTGAAAGTGACTCCCTTTCTCCTTGTCACTCTTTTTTTTATGTCACCTGTTTTATTTTCCTTAGAGTATTCATCACTCTTGGAAACTGTTGTTCACTCATTTGTGTTGATTACCTTACCTGTCTCTTACCTAGTAGAAATGAGTTCCATGAGAACAGGGACCTTGTCTAGAGTCTAGAATAGTATAGATGCTTAGTAAATGGATATCAGTGTGTTATGTTTATAGAATCCTTTTATATATATGTTCCATTTTGATCCTTAAAACAGCCTGTGAGGAGATGAGGTAGACCTTAAGAAATTGATATTCAGAGAGGCCCAACAACTTTTGCAGTCAGATAACTGTAGGACCAGATCCCAAGTCCAGACCTGTCTTCAGGTCTCTGCTACCCTTTCCTTCTTTATTAAGCTGCCTTCCAAATGCCTCTAATAAATAATAATAATAATAGCATAATAAATTTGGATCCTATGCCAGACAGTTTTCTTGAGCCCATCTCCGAGGAGCTCTAATCAACCAGAACAGCTCTTATTTATTCTGCATATATTAAATGGCATATGAAATGACTAGCACCATGCCTGACACACAGTGGCTAATGAGTCAGTATTTGTTTCTCTTCCTCTCCTGGCTCAGGTGAAAATAGAAGTGTCCTACAGACCAGGGAGAGCTGGGGAGGAGTGGGTGGTTGAAGGGGCAGGTAGAATAGAATTTTACCTTGATTTATTATGCCCCCCCCTTTAAAAAAGATTTTATTTATTTATTCATGATAGAGAGAGAGAGAGAGAGAGAGAAAGAGAGGCAGAGAGGCAGAGACACAGGCCGAGGGAGAAGTAGGCCCCATGCAGGGAGCCCGACATGGGACTTGATCCCATGTCTCCAGGATCACGCTCTGGGCTGACGGTGGCGTTAAACCGCTGATCCACCCGGGGCAGTCCTCTGCCCCCTTTTGGATAGTCAAAGCTCTAGCTGGGAATGGTTTTACAAAATCCTGTTACTTTTTCATCTGGCTTTGTGTCATGGTGGACCCTTTGCTAATTGTGCTACTTCAGTGTATTGTTCTACATTATTGTATTGTATTTATTTGCTATTCACTTGACTGTCAAGTTCATATTTCTAAACAGCATCTCTTTGAAGATGCTCATCTCTTAATTCTTCAGCTCTTTTCAGTTCCTATCTTCCATTGCTTCTGAAATGTTTATGAGGTTGTGATATCTTTATGCCTGGTGTACTTAGGGTGAATAAATAAATGTTTTATAAAAATATTGTAGAATGGATTTCAGACAAGGGAGAGATTTGGGCAAAAGACTTCTAAGGTCCTTTTAGCTGGCAGTTTGTCCTACAGTTATTTCCTGGGGATTCCACTTGCAGTATTTGTATCCATTGTGATTGTTCATGAACATTTCCTCTCTCAAAGTAGCTGAAAGCTTTTGGAGGTCAAGAGACCACTTGAATATCTTTATGTGCCTCTAGCTCCCAGTGTACTTCTTGGGAGCTGTTGGATAAATGTCGATTTGTTGATGTTTCCTTTTAAGGATATTCTTTGAGGTTATGATATTTCTGGCAAGGATTGTCTTTTCTTTCTTATAGCTTAGTACAGGTTTGATAAACTGCAATTCATTTCTTCTTTTCTCTTGGAAAGTACTCTTCCATCTTTGTTTTTTGCTAAATCATTGTGACTGGTTCAGATTAATGGGCATTTAACACCACAGGAGTTAACAACCTCAAAGAATATGCTGGAGATGGCACATTGTTGTCACCCGCTTGCTGTTCTGAAGAACCACAGATGAGCAAAATTTGTTGGGTGTTTTTCCCTGTTTAGGAGTCGGTGATTCTTAAGCCATTATGATATTTGCTGAATAGAGTCAGTGATTTAAATGCTCTCATTCCTCCTGGTTACCCATTTAGTGCTTGGCAGGTAGAAGGTGCTCAGCAAATGTTTCTTAATGAATGGATTCTTCCATAAATATGTTTATTGACTGGCTTCTAAGTTATATCCTGAATGCCTAATCCTGAGTCAGCTATTAAAAATTAGGCAAAGTAATGCTTCATTTATTTCTAGCTGAAGCTTTGGGTATATTTTCACTCTGGTGAACTAAGTTAGACTCTGGTGAGCTTGTGAGTATTCTTCTTTTACTCTCATAACTTTAAGGCTTCAACTGTTTTCCCTGTGTTTGTATTTTTAGCTTGGTCCCAGACCAGAGAGGCTGGTTTTGCCATTGTGATGTGAAAGGAAACATGGAAAATGGACACAAGGTTAAAAAGAATGTTTTCGCCCAAAGATTAAACTGTCCTTATGTACCTATTCCATGCATCTTTCTAACTCTTGAGTACCTCAGATTGGTGCTGCAGTGCTGCCAGTGTTCTATGCTCTGCCCAGTACATTTGCCACTGGCCACATATGGCTACTGAGCGTTTGTAATGTGGTTAAGTAATACCGGGGAACTAATGTTTTAATTTTACTTAATTTTAATTTAAATAGCCACAAGTGGGGATGCCTCAGTGGCTCAGTGGTTGAGCGTCTGCCTTTGGCTCAGAGCATGATCCCAGGGTCCTGGGATCGAGTCCCGCATTGGCTCCCCACAGGGAGCTTGCTTCTCCCTCTGCCTGTGTCTCTGCCTCTCTCTATGTCTCTCATGAATAAATAAGTAACATCTTAAAAAAAAAAAAGCCACAAGTGGCTAATAGATATTGTATTGAACAGCACAGTTCTGGACTTTTCTGAAGAGCTTTCTTACAATCTGTAACATCAGCAGAAGAGATTTCCCTTTTTCTGTGCTTTGAAAAAACATAACTTTGGGGGTGGCTTGGTGGCTCAGTGGGTTAAGGGACTGGCTCTTGATTTTGGTTCAGGTTGTAAGTTTGACCTCTTTGTCATGTTCCATGGTCAGTGTGGAATCTGCTTGAGATTCTCTCTCTCTGTTCCTGCTTGCACTCTCTCTCTCAAAAAAAAAAAAAAAAAAACCCAAACAACTTTGTACTTACACCACTTGTACCATTCTAAAGCAGTGTAATACTGTTCATATGGTTATCTTAGCTTCTTTGATATATGTGTAAACCTTATAAAGGCAGGGACCTGTATGCTTCATCTTTGTAACCTCCATAGTCATTGTGTGTGGTTTATATTTGTCAAATAAGTAAGAAAAGAAAATAGCCTAAGCCAAGTTGTCAGTTCTAAGATTCACCATTATTTTATGTTCACTAAGAAAAGTAAACCTTTCTAATTCAACTGAAACACAGGGCCTTGGTAATAGTTCTGAGTGAGTTGTGATTTGATCTTTTTAGCCTCTTGTTACTTTGGAATTTCTTTTACCCATTTCAAGGTATTTAGCAATATTTCCTTCCCTTAGGTATAGTATACTTGACCTGTGACGGGAATCTTTTGTATGTATCTCAGTAATAAAATATAAATATGCTTCCTCAATCTGTGTGAATTTCATTAAGTCTTATAGAAAACGATAGATGAGATTTTTTCTTCATTGACAGATATTTGCTTCTCTCATACCAGATTCATGTTTTGTTTCTTTATGTGTAAGCCTTTTTGCCCACACAAAAACTTAATACTTTTTATTGAAGTTTAACACACATAAAAAAGAGTTTATAGATCTTAAGTATAAACTTGATGAATTTTCTGAAATTGAATACTGGTATAACCAGCATCCAGGTCAAGAAATAGAATATTTTTAGTGCCCCAGGAAGCCCCTTCGGTTACTACTACTATCCTGACTGAACATCATTAATTAATTTTACCTACTTTTAAGTGTTACAGAAATGAAATCCAGTATGCACTCTTTGGTTTGTGACTTGTACTTTATATTGAGAGTCTCAACTATATATTGTAAGAGTCATTCATATTGTGGGTATATTTGTAGTTTGTTTATAATATTGCATTGTGTGAATGTACCAGAATTTATCAGTTTTTCTGCTGGGCACTTGAATGGTTTCTAGTTCTGAGCTAATATGGTTAGTGCCACATTCTTGTATGTACCTGTTGGTTGAACATATGTATACATTTCTGTTGGGATACATATCTAGGAGTGGACCTGCAGGGAATATGCATATGATCCACTTTTATATATTGTCAAATAGTTTTCTCAAATTATTGTTTCATTTATACTCTTACCAGTAGTCTATTAGAGTTCTGGGTTATTCTACATTGTTGCAATCACTTGCCGCTTTTTTAATCTTTTGAATTTAAAATTTTGGTAGATAGTATATA